CAGCAAGCGATGGTGGATATGACCGTAGTCTTCCTTTTGTCTAGAAAATAGTTTTGATAATTCAGTAGCCCATTAAGAATAAACAGGCTTTCTTTAGCGTCTCCAGAAAAAAAAAATAGAAATTACTCACTGACAAGTGAAGTAGGCTATAAGCCGTAAGAAAGCTTTTTTTTAAAGTTGAATTATTCTATTCTAGAAAAAATAGATTGCTCATTTATTAATTTCAAAAGTATTGACATTTTTAGCCATAGGTCATTGCTATAAATTAAAGTAACAAAGAAAAAGGATTGTGTTTCATTAATGAAATATTGAATTGATCGTGCTACAGGGATTGTAAGTTGGAGTAATAGCTAGAAATAGTTTGCTATCATTCTTTTCTTATTAATAAATAAAATGTTACTTGCAAAAAGTCTTTGACTGATTAAGCTATTTTAAAAATGTTCTTCTTTTCTCTCGGCCACGTTGCTTGCTTCAATTATGTCTTCATCTGCCACATTCTTTTGATATTGGCTTCCAGACCTTTATACTAAATAATTTTTCGGGACCCTTGGCGGAAGTATTTTTGTCAGAGGGTATAGTTGATATCAATCAGGATGCGTTTCTTATCCTGATTGTTCGTCATGATATTCTCAGGGGCAGCAGATTGCAGAAATGTCTCCATCTATATGAATTAGCATATCATGCGGTGATGTCGCCATTTTACTCCACCGTACTTCGGGTATGTTCGTACCACAATTCTACCGTGTGCTGTCAACATAATCATCATCATCATCATCATCATCAGCATCATCATTATCACCATTATTGGTATTCATTAATAACAAACTAATAATGACAAACCTCCCGTGACCGACTACCAAAATGCGAAGATTTAATGTTCTGTACGAACTACAGTTGATCTCTTCCGAGAAGAGTTTCCGACAGGTCTGTACCATCTACGTTTCGTACGTCAAGTGGTCGCTTGTAACAAGTTAAAAACAATAGAAAACTATAAAACAGTCAGACCAAAAAAAATGGGGACGGTAGAGGTGGTAGTCTATGAGATTATAGTTCTAATTATAAAGTTTTGACTGCGAAAATGTCGATCTTTTAAAAAGATGTTCGAGACCACATGCTTAAGTGAGGTGGTCGTGCATTGACGGTTGTGTCTAATAGATTCAAAGAGTTTGGGGTACCTGTGTTGTGGATTCGAGGGAAGGAGTATGAAAAGAGTAAAAACGTGCTGCAAACTCCATTTTTTCTTGAGGGCTATTCACATGATAACTGGATGGCTTTCATTCTGGAACGAGTTCATGTTATCTCCACCATATGGACCTTTTATTTCCGTACAAGTCATTCCGGTTTTCAATGCGAATGAATGTTTTCAATGCTGCTTGCACCTTTTTGCTTTATGCTTTCGTCTTTGCACGGCTTGTGAAATCTTCCGCTTTTTAAAACAGCTTAGCTTAGCAGCAGCGCTACATCTTTCACGATGTCAAATGGAGAACAACGAGTTTCAAGAATTTGTTTTGTTTTCTAAAAAGCGTCATAAAAAATTCTCTTACTACAGTTATTTTTAACTATAACCCCAGCTCAAAACTATAGAAAAGGCTTATCCTCTTTCCTTACGTAAGTATGAATTCAATGTATAAAGGTCGGCCGCTTATAATGATAAATTGACTAATTGATAATTCCGAAATCTGTATGTTCATTTAAAATTTATTGCAGATTGTTTGTTTCTTTTTGTCTGTTTGTTTTGTTTTTTAACGAAGTAAAAGTAAGATAGGCCAGTCATTTTAAAGGGCTTAAAAATGGTCATCTTACTAGACAGCAAGGTCAGAAGCCTTGAAGCTATGCAAATCTCTCAATGACTTGGATAACCGTTAACAGTAAACAGTAACGGTTAACAGTAGATTAATCTCGGAAGAGCCAAATTTAAGAAAGATTTATTACTAAGTAAGTATAGAGGCTTCGCGTTTCCAAAAACGACTAAAGCAAAAGCACAAACCATGCCAGCTTTAAAAGTTCAAATCGAAAACTGTCATTTACAATTAGAGAGTTGAAACAATTTTCGAGCGATGAGAGTAAAAGAGGAGAATCACAACGGCATATCCTGTGACAGGCGTGGACAGCTCTTAATCCCGTTCATAGTCTTCTCTTCTAGAAACGAGAGAAGCCGAAAAAAAATGTTCATAAATTCTTGAATTTCTATTTCTTGTAAAGAAATTACGTGAGTGCTAGACTGATTAACTCAAGCGTTAAGCGTAACTGATGTTGGTTCTGAAACCGGCTATGAAAATGCTATAAATACTCTCATATACGTTCATACACGTTACTTTATGTTCATTGGAGTCATGATTTTTATTTGAAATAAATTACTTATTAAATTTGTTTTTATCACTATGTTTAAACTCCAACACTGACTAAATAAACATTTCAATTATTTGGTTTTGTTACCATATGGCCTATTGGACTGTGAATCTAATGTCGGGGACATTAAAGATCGCAATGTATCTTTCTTGATTATTTTTTCCTTTGTTGTTTTTTAATTTACTGTTAGATATACTCATAAGTTATTAAGCCAGTGAATACTCTTTCGGTACCATCGAAAAGACTACAGAACTGAATTCTCTTCAAAGTTTTTTTTCGTTTTTTTTTTTTTTTTTTTTTTAATGAAACTTTTTTTCAGCGTATCTACTTTACAGGCTTTTAAGAAGTCTGCAATTGACTGAGGTACCTTCTTAATCACAGCCGTAGAACTTGTCTTATCAACTTTTCTCATTTTTAATCATACCAAAACTACAAAAATAGCTTATCTTCTTTCCTAGGAGTAATTCCTTTGCTTCACCCTGTAAAAGCTCTTCAGCTTTGTATGTACACGAATTGCGAGCAAGACTGATCACAGGCACTCCTCACAAAGGTAAATTAGTCCTGTCTTATTGCCAGAAACCAGTCTCCACAGATGGCCTAAGTGAAAATCATGAGAAAATAATTCTTTGGGTGGTAGCTTCTATCTCGTGGACCGTCGCCCCCTTTGCCATACTAATGAACGCATTAGTTGTTATAGTCTTGTCTCAAAGAAAAGAGCTGCAAAAAACCTCCAATATTCTGTTATCAAGCATCGCACTGGCAGATTTTTTAACAGACATTGCATCTATACCCGCTATCACTACAACGATACTAATCGTTCACCAAGGCTCTCTTGAATTCTTACGCACGATAAACAAAGTAGCCGTAAACTTAGAGGGTTTCTTTATTTTCTGTTCTCTGTACCACCTGACTGTTGTTGCTTGGGAAAGTTTCGTGGCCGTACGGAAATGGATGCATTACAACGTAATTATGGCAAAACAACGTATTATCAAGTTCGCAATATTCGCCTGGTTCTTGACGATTTTTGCATGGCTGCCTCTATACGTTATGACGTTTGCTATCGAGGACAGTAAGGCGAGACGAATCTGGATTATGATTGTAAATTTCTTTGGAATCGTTAACGTGTTGTCATCGCCTATTTCTAGCTATGCCATGATCTACAACGGAGTACGAAAACGTCGGACGAGTAATATGAACAATTCGACCGCCTTAGCACAAGCAAAACGGCATGCAATCTAGCATATATCGCCAAAACGACTGGTTAGATAACAGCTGCTCTTCTATTCACAATCGCCTTGGGTGTTACAGACTGGTGTTATTCTCCTGAACCTGAGACTGCGATTTCCGACTTCCCGTCTTGATTTTTTGGTCGAAATTTCACGGACAAAAAAAGATCAGAATCATGTAGTCCGACCACAGGCTTTGCTGAAGAAAATGCTTTGGAGATTACTCGATCTCTTTCAGCTCCATTTTTTGGACTGATTGAGACAGCATCGCCGCTAATCACTATTAAAAAAAGAAGAAAGCCGTGGTAGCAATAGTTAGGGAAGGAGTATGAAAAGAATAAAAACGTTCTGCGTAGAAAAAAAATTTTCGTAGGGGCTATTCACATGATACCTGATCATGAATGACTTTCATTCTGGAACGAGTTCATTAATCATCTGCATATATTTTCCTATCGTTTGTCTACATAATACCGAATCCACCTTTCGTTTCCGTACAAGGCATTCCGGTTTTCAATGCGAATGAAATTCTTGTTCCGATACGAATTTTAATTCTGGTTTCATGTGAACTGAAAACGATCTTTGTCTGGATTAAGAATGTTATCGTTTTAATTTCTAGGGATCTAGTTTTAAGTACAATTTAGAAATTTTTAGTAGGATTTTATGTCGTAACTTTAATGTAATTCATGTCAGGTATTCTTTTATTTATCGTTGTCGTTCGTGAGTTATTAATTCATCATTTTTGTTTTCATGAACTCTGTAAAGCGCTAGAGTTAAGGCTGTTATTTTAATTAATTTAGATTGTAAAAGATATATTAAATTCATTGCAATTAATAACTGTTTTTGATGGCTTAGACTAATTTAATGACCAAAAATATTGAAATAATAAACTATTGCTTACTTTCCTGTCTGTTATACTGAATAAAAATCTTTCCATATTCCTTTTTTATTATTTGGTTTGTTACCATGCATGTGGTCTATATATTGTGGAAATCTTCTGACTCAAAATATGTTTTGCAATTAAAAGTTTTCTTTTGTTTTTTATTTAATTTACCGGATGATATGTTTAAAGATTTTAATGCTAGTGAATTTTGGCTGTACAGAGAAAAGTCTCTCCAAAGTCCTTGTGTAATGTTTTGCAATTAAACTTTCTTTTCATTAAAAAATAGATTAAGTGAGAGACTTAAATGCTGTAATTAAAAATATAAATTAATATCCCTGCGAGAGTGGGGCGACGTATATATGAGACGTATAAGATGAGCGAGTGACACAGGACAAACACCGCTCAAAACCGATAGAGATAGTCTCTAAAACAAAAGGTCTGCCTTATAGGAACTTTCTGCTAGGTTCTGTTACCCCTTAAGCTTTGTACGAAACGCCAGAGGAACTGGGTGATTGCAGGCACACCAAAAAAAGATAAAAATAGGTATGTCTTCTTGCCAGACACCAGTTAACGTCTCCGCGAGTGGCCAAAGTGAAAACCATGAGGCTATAATTAATTGGGTGTTAGCTACAATATCGTGGACTGTCGCTCCCCTTGCTATACTTTTGAATGCGTTGGTAATTATAGCCGTGACACAAAGGAAAGAGCTTCAGAAACACTCCAATATTCTGTTATCAAGCATTGCGCTGTCGGACATGTTAACAGGCATTGCATCTATACCCGCCGTGACTACCAAAACACTAATTGCCCACCAAAGCTCTTCTGAGCTTATATGTGCAATAAACAGAGAAGCTATGAACTTAGAAGGTATCTTTGTTACCTGCTCCCTGTACAACCTAACCGTGGTTGCTTGGGAAAGGTTTGTGGCCGTGAGGAAATGGATGGACTACAAGGTAATTGTGACCAAACGTCGTCTTTTCAAGATATCAATAATCGCTTGGTTGTCGGCGATTCTCACTCGACTCCCTCTTTACATTACAGTTGTAACCAGTGCGGACACTAAGGTGAAATACATCTGCACTACGATTTTAAATGTCTGTGTAATCGCGAACGTTGCTACCATCGTTTATTTCTATGCCATGATTTACCACGGAGTGCGTAACCACCGGACAAGTAATTTAAAGAACGTTAACGCTTTAGCACAAGCAAGACTAGAATCCAGGGTGGCGAAGACGACTGCATTGATAACAGCTGCCCTTCTATTGACGATTGCTGTCAGTGGAATTCTTGTTATGACTATGAGATTAAAATTTCCGACCTCACGTCCCACTTTAAGTATCGAAATCTCACGGACACTACTTCGACTAAACTCTGTCTTTAATCCTGTCCTTTACTGCTTTAAAGACCTTCGTTTCCGGAAGGCGGTTCTTGAGCTTATAAAAATAATAAAAACATAGGCAGCCTAAGAGCCAGCCAACAAGCAATTTCGTCAACAATAAAATCAGCATTGCTTACCAGGAAATGTTTAACAAGAGCTGAAAAACGTAAAGACTCGAACCCGTAGGAGAGGATCAGAATCACGTTATTCGACCAAAGGATTTGCTGGAGAAAATGCATTGATGTTAAAGAGGTCACATTCAGTTCATGGAATGTAGAATCACGGATTATTACAGACGATCTTTGACAGAATCTCAACGAACGTGATTAGTCAGTATTACAGAGTTTATGCAACCACAAAAACCACAGCAATAGAAACGTCAAATAAAAAAAGCAGTGGTGTTAATCAGAGCAAAACAACAACTCCTCAAGTGCATCACACTTTTTTGTACATTTGTTCACCGACACTGTACGAAAAAAGAAGTTATAGGACGCGTCTTAGATAAGACGCGAACTTCTTGTATAAATGACAGAAAAAAAAATGCCTTAGGCTCGTTCTTGAGCTCTTTCTGTAGCTTTAAAGACAGGCCGTTTCATGCTCACTTGAATGGTACAGTTGCTGTCTTGCTTGAGAAGCGTTTTTCTTGGGAAGCTATTTCTAGAGTTGCTCTTGAACTTAAGATGTTAAATTGACTCTCTAACACAGTCATCTTCATTTAGCGTAGTTGCTGGCCAGGAAATGGTAAAAGATAAGATTATTTATCGGCCGTTTTTATTGATCGATCCGTAAAGTTACGTCAATTTGTAGTTTTGGAGGGAGGCACCTGAGAGTGTGTGTACAAGCAGCATGGCAGGTAATACGGCGGCCCATGCGCACTAGGAGAGAAGACGTGTTTTCCCAAATTGAGAGTTCGAGTCATTCACTTGCGTTGGTTTTCTGTAGCATCGTACATTCGTTTCCCTTGAATTTTTTGCCGCCAAGATACGCTGTCTCAATTATTATTTTGGTTTACATAATTATGCAGCTTTCTTTTCGTCTTCATGGCAACAATACGCCGTCGCATTGTAACATTGGTGTCTTTATGTCTGATCTTCTGTCAAGTTTAATTGCTAGTTTTAGTCAGCAACACATAACATGTCTTGTCAAATCAAGATATTGCAGTCATTGCTTGGTAACGATCCTCTGTCACACTTGTACACACCTTTTGCTAATAGACGGCCTATTAAGTGGTTTCTGTGAAATGCCATACCTAAAAAAAAAAACATTCGCAAAGAAACTTGTCTACATCTCAGTTTAAAATACCATTATGTTTTTGCTTCGTTTTGTTTGGTAAACGATTGCAGTTAGCTGTAAGCCTTTTACAGCTATTTCGAGAAAGGTTGTCGGAGAAATATGTCCACGCGACAATCCCGAAAGGTAATATGGGATATGATCAATACACTGTTCCTGAAACTGTAGCTGTCGAACTTAGTTTTGTTGCTTTCCTTTAGCACTTTCATACATAAGTCCATGGCCTCTCGTGCCATTTTTTCAAATTTCTTTGAAGAACAGTGAACTNGCCTTTTACAGCTATTTCGAGAAAGGTTGTCGGAGAAATATGTCCACGCGACAATCCCGAAAGGTAATATGGGATATGATCAATACACTGTTCCTGAAACTGTAGCTGTCGAACTTAGTTTTGTTGCTTTCCTTTAGCACTTTCATACATAAGTCCATGGCCTCTCGTGCCATTTTTTCAAATTTCTTTGAAGAACAGTGAACTAAAAACCACCCACAATACCTTTTGGGATTGTCGCGTTCACTTTTTCCGACAACCTTCCTCGAAACAGCTGTATATTAACTTCTCGATGACAAGCAGCGGAAACGTTTCCACTACAAGAAATGTGCATTTTTTAATTTGTTTTTCAGCAATTTGTTTCTGAATGACTAATTTTTTTTGGCGATTTTAAGTATTCTACATTAGTAAGCCTTTCATGGAGCAATTATAAAGGACCATTTCACTAGACGGCAAAGTTTGAAGTTAATGCCATGCAAATCTGTCTTGGATCACCGCCAACAGCAAATGAACAGATGATAATGCACGAAACAACTAATTATTAACTCAGATTTTGTTTTTCAACTCAGTGAAATCTCTTTGTTGCGGTTTCAGAAAAATACAACTGTTAAGAAAATTCAACTAGAAAATGTTTGCTTCTAACTGGTGAGAATCAAATGTTTGTCACAGCACAGCACAGCACACCTGCTTTAATCCGTTTTCTTGTGTGCTGAAAGAGAGAATGAAACCTGATGAGCACCATGTTCGTAGCACGTCCGTACTCGGATTTATCTAAAACGAGGGCCGTGAAAAGTTGAAAACGCTTTTAAAGGCGTTTTCTTTTGCAGAAGTTGTCCTACGTATTATGTAAAAATCGTGAATCGCTCCCATAGGGATCGCGAGGCGGATGAGCTTGCCCATTGTGACTTCACGAGCAGTTATCCCGGGAAGTTCTAAAGGTTTTTATAGGGGAAAATTGATTTTATGCTGTAGACAGAGAAAATCCGTATCAGAACAATGAAAAAGCTGAAGGAATAGGGCTACTAATGTATTTTGTCTCTGAAATTGGCAATATTCTCTAGTAAATAGCATTTTCACTTTCATAAAACAAGCATTTCTTGAGATAGATCGTTGAAAACGTGACGAAATAATGAAACCCTGGGCACCTTCAGTGACGGATATCAAAAGAATGCAAAAAAGTTGGAAACTGAGAGAAACACACGAAATCTATATGCCTTTGGTCTTTCCATTAGTATCAGAAGTGAAACATTTAGCAAAGTAGCAAAAATGATCAGTTTCTCTAAAGTGATAGTCTGTTCAGTCTGCTACCACACAGCCGTTTTTAATGTCGTCACGCAACACTCAACCCCCCAACCTGCAAACGGCTGCTGAGAATCGAACCATATTCCTTTCCCGCGGTTAACCAATAACAATTCAGCTCCCATTTTCTGGAAGGTGTTCGCGCCAAGGTGACTCCTCCAATCACAGCTTTGCTTTTATCGTTGTTCCATTTGTGACTGACAGAACAATAAAAATCGTCACGTGAAAACAAGCCATTAACTGGAGTAGTGTTGTCGTTGTCCCATTCAAAATTTATGAGATAAGCAGCAGCAGCAAGCAAGTCCAACAAATGTAATGCACAACATGGATGTGCTTACAAAGTTTCCGTGCATAGGTTTGGAAAATCGCTCATCTATTATTTATAAGATTGCTTTTAATTGAATCAGTACCCTTGGGAGTTTATTCCTCACATGTACAGCAACCGCGGAGCAACACAATGACCACATCCGGCACATGAAATTCATCATACATGTGTCCCCGGACATATACACGTTAAACTGAGAACCAACGGATCTTGGTTAGAGTCTTGTATGCCTATCAAACCTTTTCTTTTTAACTTGGAACTTTTCTACAAATTTTAATCAAAAGCCTTTTGTAGCTTGTAGACACAGAGCCCAGCCGTTCAATTATTCAGAGACGATTGATTGATTTGTCGAAAATTGAGAAGCGTTTTCGCATCTTAGCGTCCTGCGGCTCAAGTATTGTCAAGTTTCTTATACATGATTGGTTTCCTCGTTAGACCATAAATACAAAGGGAAAGGAATGTGGTTCGGTTCTCAGCAGCCGTTTGTGGGGAGGAGCATTGCGTGACGACACTAAAAACGACTGTCTGTTCTGTCGCTCTTTGTAATCATCGTTGCACTTCGTTATACCTATCGCACTGTGCAACAAAATTGTCGCACTTTGTAATAAACTTTAAATTGATGGTCGGAGGACACGTAAACCCTAGAAGAAGTACTGTATTATTATGGACAACAACAATTTACAGTAATAATAACAATAACAATAACAATAACAATAATAATTATATTGTTTTCATCATTGAGGATGTTTTATGATGATGATTATTATTTATATAAGCGCCACTCATAAAACGGCCACCACAACAACGACGACGAGCTTTTTTTGCATGACCATAGTACATGCAGTATTATTGCAGAAGCTGTCTTAAGAACCAAAATTTAACATTATAGGGCAATTACGTTACTTTGGAAATCATGTCACGAAGATCAAAGCAAGCTGAAATATATTTCAAGAACTATATTTTGATAAAGTATGATTAGAGGAGTTCATCAATTCAGTAATCATTGGGTAATATCTCATTAATATCTGGTATCAGAAACTTGACTTTATTGTAAAAATTTTTACCAATCATAAAGTATGTAGGAGAGCGAAAAAGCGGAACTTCGTCTTCTATTAGACTGGATCCACAAAAAGGGCACAGAACACACAATAATGTTCTATCTATTTCCAACATTTAGGCATAACTTGATTGAGACCACAGGCTGGGCACAAGAAACAAAGTTAAAGGAGTTGACGTGACCTCAGGACCGTGCAAAATTTAAGAACACCCCTTATCTGATTGAGAAAGATCTGGATGTGACCAAAGCCCTGCTTCACCCCTTTAGGATGTAAAAGATGAACCTTCATCAACTTTTAAGCTTGCGTGCCGCCTTTCATACATTGCCTCTACATTATAAACGTACGTAAATTTACGTAATTTTTGTGTTCGCCGTGTTTTTCCTTTAAAAAGGTCGTGCCGCAAAATCCGTAACTTGTAAACCGGCCTTTTTTTTTAAATCACATCTTGAAGTATTCAATACTATTAGGCACTGTTTGGTTTGCTTACAGAATTAGGACAGGAAGTAATTTTCCATACCCTGAACTACAATTTCTAATTCACGACATACTCTTTGACAAGTGGCTATTGCTATAGGCCATTTCCAAGTTCCAAAAGCCCTCACTTTGAAAACAAGTGTAAGTGCAAAACCTTAATTTCTTGTGATAATGAGTTTATTTGCAGGAGAATATATCAATGGTTTCTCACGTACTCTCGCTTTGAGGTAGAGGTTTCGGGCAACTCGGAAATGGTAGTGTCGAAAACGAAGCCCTCGAAAACGAAGACCGAAGCACGAAGCACCCAAATCTCGAAAACGAAGCACCCAAATCTCGAAAACGAAGCACCCAAATCTCGAAAACGAAGC